GCCTTGAAATTGCCTGAGGACTGGCACAGAAAAAGCACATAGTAAAATCTTTTTCCATTCTATCTTTGGTTCTGGAAACATTTTTAATATTGTAGTTTGCATTTCTTCAGTTTCTTCTATTCAAGGATCTCAAGGCATGTCACTAGCATTATTGAAAGGACAACACTCTCATGAGATAGTTTAAATAATAATCTTTACTTTGCAGATGGAGAAACATAAATATTTAAGCCAAACATTTTCACACTTGATTGTTCAAAGTTAGTTGCCTAGATCTATAGATAGGCAACCAAATTAAAGGGACTCAGTTTTCAGAGGACCACTGCCCTCAGGAAGTACTAACAGACATCACTTAAAGAACAAATGCCATGCATACTCATTTGCAGAGAGACTGTTTACTGTTTAAAAAAAGATATGAGCCATTTTAAACTTGGTTAACCTCATTCAAATGCACTAAAAAAAGTGTTGTAACCTGTAGCTGTCCCCATGTCTTACCTCCAAACTTCTAACCACGTTTTCCTGTTTGTTGCAAAATATTTCCTCTCTCCTATTGCTATTTGCAAAATCAGATCTAGGAGCTGAGCCTATGCAGTAAAAGGCTCCAGTCCTGTTAGCAATTACTTGTGCACAGCCTAGGAGTGAAAACAACAGCTGCTAGCAAATGGCCTCTTCCTTTTACTGTGTCTGTTTGCAAACCAGTCCATGAGAGAACCTAGTCTTGACTGGCTCTGTCTAGTTCTTGATGCTGGCATAGGCTCTGAAGGGATGTCCAAAAGGAAGACAAGATACAACGCCATGTTACAGGAGTGTGCTCTCTCTATAAATCAGTAGTCAGGTCAGAAATTGTATTCAGGAATATGTTTCTGGGTTTTAAATCGCAACTCGTTGATAATGGAAATGAACTATCTCAGCTGTTAAGGTTGCTGTTTCATATTTGTAGTGTTTTTCTGCAGATGTTACATGTTTTGAAAAATGACTCAGATGGGTGGTACTGGTCTCTTGCACTGAGTCCACACCCTAGGGATATGTAATTGCTTAGAAAAATGTGGCTCATTTAAAGTTCCAATAAACACTTTGAAAAAAAATTACATTTACCAGGACAACAAACCAAATTAAATCCCTTCAGGCTGATACACACTAGAAAGAACTGGTGTTGTCATTTTCTATTGATGGAGCAGACTGGGAATGGAGTAGTGCTTCTGCATATAGTTTGATAATATGAATCTTTCTCCATAATAACATAATGCAGTTATATAGATACAGAAGGCAGATATGTAAGAACTGTAATAAACACATTTTTCATCACTTTTTTTGCCCATGTACAAGTGACAAACTTAATTCTGCAATCATTTCTGCACATATAGAGGTTTATGTATGTGAGAAGATCCACTGAAACAAGAGGGATTTCTTGCAGCAGTAAAGTTAAGCATAGGCATATGTGTTTGCTGGATAAGATGTCTTGAGAGCCTGTTACTGCCACTGCTTTATCAGGCAAAAAATGAATGTCATTGAAGGAATGCAGAACTGGAATCCAAGTCTGCATTCTGAATTTTAACTCCTGAACAGAACTGGTTCTCAGAAATATACCAATCAGCTCATCTGTTGTATACCCAACAAGCTATTCACATTCTGCAGGCAGTTACACTCATGTGTAGCAATGCAGATGGATGGGGTAACTCCTAATGGAAGGCAGAATTTGGCCAGTTTTAATCAGGCTTCACTTGATGGCAGACTTCTGTGGGATTAGTGATTTTTGTGATCATTTCTGCTGCCCATAACTTATTTAGTTGGTATCACAAAGTAAATGCAGTATTTCTAAGCACCTCAATCTTATTAGACTTTCTCCTTGCTCGTGAAATAAGGTTGCGTTTCCTCAAGTGTTTTGTCTGGTTTATTTATTAATTTACTAAAATCATATTCTTGTTTCTTAATTTTACCTGAAAATACTTCCCAAAAAATGTTGGTCTGATTGTAAACTGAAAAATAGCCTCTCTGAGTTCTCTCTCTTTTTAAAAATTTGTCAATCTTCCAATGCTGAGTCAACAAGTCACTTCCAGTTACAGCAATGGCAGTTGTTCTCTCGGGAAGCTCCATTTCCTCTGTTTGTCACCAGGTTAATTTCTCAGGTCACTACTAAATTAATACCATGGTCTTTTGCATTGCATATGTTGAGCACATGTTTCCTGCTGAACATCTCTTGCCTCTAAGGAATTTCCTATCTCTACTGCATAGCAATTGCCTGTGTGACACGTATTAAGCAAGGCTGCAAAGTATTTCCTCTGGTTTTTTTTCCAACTTCTGAAAATATTCTGGGTTAGCCTGATATTTTCCATGCTTGGTCTTTGGCAAAAACAGACAATAGCCTAGCTTTATTAGTTAACAAGATATAAAATGTTGTGAAAGAGTATGAAATCCATTACTTTTAGGCAGCAAAAGTGGCATTTTATCCTTGATGCTAGTTATTACCTTCAGATATATCTGGTGTATATATATTTGGCACAAAAATGTGCACCAAGTTATAAAAGGCCAGCTTCAAATCTCATTTATACCAGTATAAATCTGGAATTACAACACTAGAGCTTAGTTGTCCTACTTAAGTTGAGAACCTAGCTCATTGTGTTCCTATTACTTGCTTGTATTAGTTGTAGACTAAACTATGTATTAAGAGCCACATATTGACAGCCTTCTGAAATACTACATGAGCAGCTCTGTTGAATCCAGTGGGATTGCTCAAAGAACAAAATGCTGCTTAACACTAAAAAAAAGTGTTAGGATTGGTCCCTATGAAGTGTGGAGAGTTTAATATGTCTGACTGTCAGCCTTTCTTAATATAAAGACATGCAAAAGTAGTGGAATAAATATATGACCTTCAGATTGCTAGAGAAATCATTATATATAATTTAGCTAGCTGCAATTTTGGTGTTCCATATTATCTTTTTAGCATTTTTTTATAAAACATTACTTGGCTCCCTGGCATTTTAATTGTACCCTTTCGCCTACACAGACGCCTGGTACTTCTCAGATTTCTGCCACAGACATCATCCATAAAACCTGCTTCAAACAGGAACAGGAGATAGGATCTGTAAAATCCCAGAGTCAAAAAAAAGAGAACTATTATTTTGCACTTCTTTAGTGCTTTCCAGACAAGGAACTCTCATATCTTTGGTAAGGGCATTGAGTTCATTTTGTCAGCCCCCATGGGGGAAGAGGAGGGGGGAGTAATACTGTCACTGTCTTACAGAGAGGGAAGCAGACATAACTGAGAAATTAAGTAATTTGCCAAAGATTATAGACAAGTTCATAAAACAGGAAATCAGTGACACTGAGAAACTGAGACAGTGTCTGTGATTCTCAGCCATGGTGATGATGTGGCACCATGGGATGCTTTGAGATCCTTTCAAGGGTGCTGTGGGGTGCCACACAATGTTAACACTATTCGGTGTACATTCACATGATAAACCAAGAGGTTTCAAATAGGAATTCATTGCGTTTTAACAAGGGGTATGTCGTATCTTAAAAGACTGAGAACCACTGGTCCAGGTCTTCCCATGCCTAGTCTACAGCTCTGGCCACAAGACTAGGCTGATCATCTTCTAGAAGTGTTGGAAGATCTTTTTGTTTGGGCAGGCCTTCAGCAGGCAGAGTTAAATCTGGGGCATTATTTGGGGAGTTTGTTCTAAAAAATAAAATAATATTTTTTTTGTATTTGTCTTTATAATTTATTTTATTTTTTTATTGTAAGATACCCTGAACTTCTTTTGGGGAGGGCAGCATATAAATCTAATTAATAAATAGTCCTGATCCTGTAAATAAATTAAAAAAAAGGAAAAAAAACAGATTTTGGTTTGCTTTGAAAATACAAAGAAACATCCCCTAGTAAATGATTTATCTAAAAAATAAGGGGGTACATCTTTACCTTTCCACTTAAATTGGTGGAAGCATACTAACTCATGTTAGCTGAGGATTGGGCCTATACAGATCAAACTGTATCTCAAACAGTTCAGACTTCTCAAAGATGTCAGGGGACACACGAGCCAGCCCAAATTGCATTCTTCTTTCCAAAAACAAGGTGCATGTTTTACTGGAGTGGGGAGGTGGGGGGCATGTTGAATGTGAGGGAATATGGGCCTTGTGACATAAAATCTGCATCTCTTGTGGTCACTTTCTTTAAATAGCCACAGTCTATTACTTTAGGTCCAAAAGGTAGTGTTGCCTTGTTTTTTGCAAAAATCAGTACCAAGAATAATCATGAGATTTTCAAGTTTTGTTGTAAATGTGGTATTTTCTTGCATACCACATATCCAAAATTCAATCAGGGTACATGGGTACATGTTTTAAGTGGGGAAGCTGTTTTCTTCACTGGAAAAGAAGCACACATGGAGGCACTGTGCTTACCAGGCAGCTGCCAAGAGGCTGCTGCTTGTGTCTGGCCCAGCAAGCAGAAGAGGCTTGATGAGGCTTGTGATGTGGAAAAACTTTATTTACAGGAATTTATATAAAGAACTATTACAGTAAAGAACTAATAGTGTTGCTACTGCCCTTGCTAGAGTCTGTGACCTAATCTCTCATGACAGGCACACCAGGAAGCTCCTGTTGCAGGATGCCTCATGCATATGGTCTCCTGGGATGCCACACTTCTTGGACACACTGTGTTTCCAGAACTAACTGTGTCACAGTCAGCCATGACTCCAGAAATTTTTTTCCCTACATTCTACTTTCCAGAAGAAAGGGGCATGTTTTATCTGAGAGTGTGTTTGTATGCAAGGAAATACAGTAGTTTTTTGCCTGGGTAGAAGTGTTGTCCTGCATTGTCCGCAGCCCAAATAAAGAGTTGTGCTGGAACCTGACTGCCAAGAAGTCATATTGACTCGAAGTAAGAAACTGATGGATTTGTTGTTGATATTGAAGCACATGAATGAATGTTTGGTGCTATTAGTAACACAATTAAGGAAAATTTAACCTAAGAGTTTCCCCTTAAGTTTTCCATTCCCTTCTCTCCACAGAAAGCAGCCAGTACATCATGGAGATGGAAGATTTTGACAACTACACCTATTTTTATTATAACTATGAGGAAGATGAGCCATTCCAGTCCCATCTCAGTGTCTCACACATGGTCTCCCTTTCTTTATGTTGTGTGGCATTTCTCCTAGGGGTGCCAGGTAATGCCATAGTCATCTGGTTTATGGGGTTTAAATGGAATAAATCAGTCTCCACCCTCTGGTTCCTCAATCTGGCTATTGCAGACTTCATCTTCGTTCTTTTCTTGCCTTTCTATAGTACATATATAGCACTAGGTTTCCACTGGCCCTTTGGGAAGTTGCTTTGCAAAGTTAACTCCTTTATTGCTTTACTGAATATGTTTGCTAGTGTTTTCTTCCTGACCTTCATCAGCCTTGATCGCTACATACGCCTGGTCCACCCCACCTTTTCATGCAAGTATCGGACCCTTAGGAACGCTCTCATTCTTAGCGGGATTATTTGGCTCTTGGCTGCTATTATTGGTGGCCCAGCCTTGTACTTCAGAGACACTACAATTCATAACAACAACACCATTTGCTACAACAACTTTCACCTCCACGACAAAGAGCTCATTGTTATGAGACATCATGTTTTGATTTGGGTGAGGCTTGTGTGCGGTTATCTGTTTCCTTTGGTGACCATGGTCCTTTGTTACTCACTTCTGATTGTCAAGGTTAAGAGGAGAAGCCTACTAACCTCCAGCAGGCTCTTCTGGACCATGGTTGCCGTAGTTGTAGCTTTTTTTGTTTGCTGGACACCCTACCACATATTTAGCATTCTGGAACTATCTGCTCACCATAACGAACACTTACATGGCTTGCTTCAGGATGCCATTCCCCTCTCAACTGGTCTTGCCTTCATTAATAGCTGTCTCAATCCAATCCTCTATGTTTTGATTAGCAAAAAATTCCAAGTCCATGTTAGAGCGACAGTTTCTGAGGCACTAAAGCTTGCGCTGTGGGAAGTAAGCCGTTCTGGAACAGTCAGTGAACAACTGCGAAGCTCAGAGAACACCCACGTGGCTGTGAACTACTGTGAAACTAGGCAGTAAATGGCTCTTTTTTCTTTTTTTCACCAGTTGTGAGTTCTTGTTTATTACAGAATTGCAAATTTATATGTAATGTCAAGGACTGGTCAAATTGATTGCTGGTGCAATTCTGTAATAAACAAGAACTCACAACTGGTGAAAAAAAGAAAAAAAGAGCCATTTACTGCCTAGTTTCACAGAAATTACTCATTAGATGAAGCTCCAGTAAATTTAGGGATGAATCTAGCCCAGTGTTTCCTAGCTACTTGCTTAAACACAGAAGAAGTGTAGCTTCAGACAACGTTTTACTTGGCTTCTATATGTTTGCATATATGACTTTGCACACACATGCTTGCATTAGTTTTTTGAAAACATTTTGCATTCCAGTTCAACACTTGGACACACAGAATTAAGCAATATAGAGGCTATGCCAAAGTATGCATACAAAATGATGTGTGCAAATGTTAACTGCAAGTGCAAGAATGTGCACGTCATATTTTATACAAACACAAGTGGAGGACTTCTATGTATTAGATCTTGTCCATAACTCAGTTATGTAACAGATACAGTCCTGTATACAAATAGGAACATTTACAACGTAGATGGGGCCCTATATATATTTATACAACAGCTCGTGTATTTACAAATACTTCTTTATGGCATCATCCTGAAATAGATAGAAATATAAATAGTTCATTTACAACACACATCCTTATTGTGGTCCAATTTCATTGAATCTCAAGAGTTTAGCAGGCTCTCAAAAGTGCGCACAGATGCTGCAAAACATGGGATTAGTAATTTGATTGGCAACACTATATATCATCCGAGTCATTATGGAACCAACAACCCCATGTAGCTGAATGTGCCTAAACCAAAAGTAAATATAAGAAATACCATACTGAATCTAACCTTAGGGCTTATCTAGCCCAGTGTACTGCATCTCAGTGGCAGAGCATATTGAGCTGTCTCCTGCCACTCTTCCATTACAGCTTCTAACATTCAGAAGCCTAAGGAGGTCATAATTGGTAGGTTGTACCTCCGGTCGCTTTTCTTTAAAGACTTCCTGGTATATGTTTCCTAAGGATAGGATGTTAATTTTGATGTTCTGACTATGCTCTCCACTCTGCATCCTGGAGCCATCTCTTTCCTCAGCGGTACTGTAGGATTGCTCTCTTCTCAGAGCAATACCTTTGTTCAGTCCTAAGAGTTTTGGAAGATATGATCCAAGTATAACCCTTTTCAGTGTCAGCGATAAGGCTCATTTCAGCGATTCTTTGATACCACTTTTGTTCAGGCAATGGGGTTAGTAGAAAAATCAGTAAAAATACTAAAGAATTTGATTTTGAATACCAGAGAAGATTCAAGGGAGCTTCCGTTTTTTGGTAATATCGCAAGATGCTTCACAATGCTTTCTGAACATCAGGAGTTTAGAAATTCCTAGGACAGAACAAAAACTTTAATGCCAATATCCAGCAAACTTGCTGAGCTAAAAAAAACCTACCCAGAAGCAGTTACAAAACAGCTATGGAACTAAAGAAACTATGACAAGAATGCTAGTTACCCCTATTTCATGGGGAGAAAGGCACTCGTTAATTTGCCCACCAGTCAGATGACATAACTCCCCATTCAACACATCAAAATGCAACCAAAGATGATTAGCGACTGCTTCCTGAGGATATCCACAATACTAGCAGAACTTGTACACTGATGGATGGAAATGACACCTGCTCACTCAAGTCACTGACAATGGAATAACACCAGGAACGGTAAACACCTTTTACAGATTGTAGATCCATCTTAGTACCCACAGGCCACTACAAAGAAAGGAACAATCCTGAGAACAGGATGCGTCTGTGCAGTTGGAAAGTCAGAAAAATAAAAATGAGACGCTGACAGATACCCAGTAAAAGGCAAGATGGTTCACTCGCGTATGAGTCATCCACCATGATTTACTTCCTGAGTGGTCTCTGGGAGGTTTATTATTCAGATTAATTTGTGCTTGCTACTTATGTTGTTGTACTCCGGTTTATCTTCAGAAGGAATAAATAACACATTTTTTACCTTTCATTGTATATTTGATTTTAAAGAAAAGATGCAACTGTAGGTACTGGTAAGTATCCAGTAATTTCTCACAACAGACATTTCTAATACTCTTTATACAGAACTTACTGGGCCTGTCAAGGTTCTTCCTGAGACACTGAATAGTAGTGACAGGACTCCTTCTCTTCTGTGGGTTGGCACTGGGATCTTAGGGTATTTATACACCTGTTCTGGGGAATGGGGGCTTTAATTAAAAGCACCCAGAGCATCTCATGTATCACTTCAATATGGTGGCAGGGGCACTTTATCTAAAGCTTGTCAAACGAGCTTTTAGATAATGCACCCCTGCCGCCATTTTGAAGTCCAGGGATGCTGATGCACAAGACACTGGAGGCTGCTGTTGTATGGTAATTACCGCACTCAAGCAGATCCAATTAATCGAGTCTGCTCCAATGCACTGCAATTACAGGACATCAGCAGCTTCCTTGCTCACATATAGACACCCCATAGTAGACTCTGAACAAACTAGCACAAGACCCTTCACAACTCACTCAGAGAGGCAGCAAGGAGTACACCTCACACACGGAGGAAATAGGAGAGCCTGTAACAAGAGAAATCAGGACCCATGGGAAATAGCCCACAGGGGCCGTGTCCAGATGAGCACAGGCGTGTGGTATGTGGCACCACAGACCCATCTGCAGCACTACACACTGCTCATGCAGGTGTTCCCTGTGTTATTACCTTGCAGTGTGGGGGTTTTTGACCCTGCAAGACCCAGGGTCAAAAAAGCTACACTGGCTGCTGGGCAGGCTCCCAGCTGCAGGTCCCCAAGGCCTCTAGGTAAAGCTGGGGTCCCCAGTTGCTGGCCCCAGCCTCCCCTACTATACCTGGGTAACCTGCCACACGCCAGCCCATGTAACACAAGGTAAGCCGCTGCTACTTGTCTGTGGGGAAACAAATGTCTGTGGACATGGCCAAAGAAGAAATAGGGAGCAACAGGATCTCTAACTTGGGATGTTTTGAGAAGAAAGAGGGAATAGCACCCTCTTGTTCACAGAGAAAAAATGTTGGAGCAGGGCTTCCACTGCCTTGTCATGGAGGATTCATAGGGGTTCTGCAGCTGTTCACTAGAACCAAAAGGTTGCTAATTTCCAACTTTGTGGCTTCCCTCTCAAAATATATCAAGACACAAAATACCAAGAGACCCTTTACTCTTTAATCAGGATAGTTCAGATTCTCTCTCTTAAAAAAGATATCACAATGCTATACCAGTACGTAAGCAAGCTATATTACATGCATTTTGGATTTGTTAGATGTTACTGAACTTTGGGGGATTTAGAGATAAACGTTCACACTGCACAGTACTTGGCACCTTGCAGAACCAGAATGCACAATACAGTCGACTATAATAAACTACTAATATTCCCTGAGAAGTAGCTTGCATCACCTTTTAAACATGGCTAACTTTAAAAATCAGAAATCCAGTCATCCTGCAAATTCCCCAAGACATTTAGCTATTAAGATCTTAAAACATTTCTTTCCTATTTCTTAACTGTTTACTTCTGTCCCAAAGCCTGTGAAGGATATTAACTACCTGTTCCTCTACATTTCTCAGTTCAGTGTTTTTCAGATCTTTTCACTACAAAAAATTCCTGATCTTGCATCTGCATACTGAAAATTAAGACTCAAATTTAAGTACTTCTAAGGGTAATAGTCTAGGTGATCAGCTCCTGGGAAGCGGTCTCAGAGATGTTGCAATGTGCAAGTCATATGCTTTTTGGCTAAATTTGCAATTCTAGAGAAGCTTTGCAAGGTGCAACAGTAGACAGCACCTGTAGCTCAAAAATAAGCCTTGATTTGCAACTAGATTGAGAAAAGAAAATATGGAAGGCATTATTGCTGAAGGTATTTATTAGGGGTGTGCAAAGCAGGCTGTATTCAATTTGGATTCGGCCTGAATTGGGAACAGTGGTTCAATTCGTTGATTTGGATCACGGTCCCCAATTTGATTTGTTCGAATCCAAGTCTGAAGATTCGATTCTGATTTGGAGAATCAGTGATTCGGCCATAGACACAACTTTACATGTTTTTTCTACATACCTCAAGGTGCAGCATGGCTCATGAACACTGCAATGCTGGGGTGGATGGAGCATGTCCCACAGGAGTGTGGGGGAGGGGGCCCATGTGCTTATTGGCAAACCCTAAAGTCCACCTCCAGGTCTGCTGGGGAAGCACACTGGGGGGCACCCCCTATACCCACCAACTTGGCAATCTGCCATGGGGGGCCCCTGCTGCCCCCCCAGACCCAGGAGACACCAAACACTGAGCGGGGGCAGGGGGAGGGAGGGAACTGGGCTTCCCCCACAGCATGCTCCCCAGCAGATGTGGAAGTGCTTCTGGTCTGCTTGCAGGTCTGCTGCTGAGCATACTAGGGAGCACCCTATGCTCCTGTGGGACACTCCATCCACCCCAGCATTGCAGCATTGATAAGCCATCTGCTACCTTGATGGTACGTAGAAAAAAAAACATTTAAGCTGTGTCTATGTTCAACTCAATTTGGAAAGTTCCAATCTGAGTCAGAGAGATTAAAGGGTCTCCCAATTTGATTCAGATATTTGACCACCTAACTGAATCAGGGATCAAAGCTTTGCACAGCCCTAGTATTTATATTATACTTCTCAAAGTGAGTAAAAATAAGCACTATCAAAAGAGAATGGATATGGTAATGGAAGGTTTCAGAATTCAATACCTCCAGCCCAATGGAAGCAAATTACATTGCTATTGTGCTATGGTTCCATCTCAAAGCAGCTCAGTGCTGCAGACTAATCTCAAATGGACAGGAAGTCTGGAAATAATATTTTAATGGACGGCCTAAAGATAAAGCTTTAATTGATGACTTTCAAGTTTAAAGTTTCTGGTAATGATTCAAGTACCTTATATTTTGGAGACTATTACTGTGCTGTAAGCCTAGTAGAGCAAGCTTTTCTAAAAGCCATGCAACTGATATTAAAAAAGTCCAACAAACACTGAAGGAGTGTACACATTGAGTAAAAAGCAAAATCATACACAGTACACTTTAGACTTCTCTTGCAGTTCTCATAATTCTGGTATTTCTGATTCATTCTGAGATCTTACCTCTTTATGAAATTAGAGCTGAAGCTAAATGAGGTCATTCAACATCTGTTCTTCAAGATACTTTCACTACAAGTATGCTGCCCCCTAGCCTTCCCTTCAGGAAAGTAACATTGTTTCAGAGGGGGAACCTGGGAAAGAAGCCACTTCCAACACAGATTTAAGAATAGGCAGAAGGTAGGGCAGCACCTTAAAGATTATATTTATTCAGAGATATGGCCTTTTGTGGGCAAGCCTACTTTTTCAGAGCCTATGAAGGGACCACTCACAGGTCCATGAACGAGCTCATACAAAAACCCCTCATATCTTTTTGAACAAGTTAGTCTTTAGAGGGTCACCCTGCCCTGCCTTCTACCTGACCTCAGACTAACAATTCTAACTACCTCTCTGCCCATTAGAAGTCAGATTTCCTGACTTAGTGTGCCTTACTCTGCTACAAGATCTGTGGTTTAGTAAAGAAATCTGGTTTTACTTCTACTCTAAGACTTTTAAGTATCAATGAACTAGACGTTGCTGTTTAGAGTAAGTGGAGACCATATGGTTTGAGTTCTGCAAATACTTTTATTCTAGATGTAGGGCTTAAATCTTGTTGAAAGCAGCTACGTCCATTGATTGTACATAATCTTCAAAAGCCGTTATTCTTTCTTCCAACATATCTGTTCCAACTTTATCATCTTCAACAACACACTGAATTTGAAGCTTCTTGATACCGTAACCAACTGGAACTAGTTTGGCTGTTGAAAACAGAAAATAGCAACTGAGACATCCCATTCACCCAATACCCTCTATATAAAAGAGTATTAATAAAATAACTCATTACATGATGACTTTTGCATCTATTGCTTGCAAAAGGTACTTGGAAACCAACAGAACATTGCTTCACGTATAGTTCCAAGTCAACCCTCGAGCTACTAAAAACACCAGGCTCCAGTGTAAGGCAAGTGTAGTTTCATTCTCATTTTAAGTTTGCCATCCTAATTACAGCTGAGTATTTTTGAGCGGAAAACAAATTTTTACAAGGGAGATATGATTAGCTACAAGCAGCAGATCTTCAGACCACACCAGGAAATTGGAGGGGGGTGCCAGTGGTAAAAACCTCCTTTTGGAGTTAGTGAATTATCTTAAGGAATAGAAAACTACTCACAGCACTCAGAAGACAAGCACACAAGTTGACATCTAAATTAAACTTCATTTTGGAAATGCTGTCTAGATCCATTTTTAAGCATCAAGAAAATTGAGCTACTACTCCAGTTTAATACTACTGCAATTTATTATTAACACCTGGAATTCCTTCTCTCTCTTTGAGCTACAACTCCAGCTCTGTGCCCCTTTAAGTATATTTCTCTATACAGTGCAATTTAAAAAGTTACATTGCCTCCACTAGCCCACACAACCTTAATGATGTACTACTTACAAGATCCCCAGACCAAGCCATCTGTCTGAATGCTTCGGACACACTCCTCCAGTTTGGCCATGTCCGTCTCATCGTCCCAGGGTTTCACATCCAACAAGATTGACGACTTGGCCACAACAGCTGGTTCTATAAAGTGATAAGGACAGGAGGTGGGAAGGGGAAGAAAAGCAACATTTAAGTACAAATGAATATGAATGAGTTAGTAACATACATTGCTGTAAATTCCCCAAGGTCTAGGGCATTTCACAAAAACTGCCCATTTGCAAACATCTTTTCCATAAATAGAAATATATAAAAAATTGTGAAAGGAAATATTAAAAATGTACAAATTCCTGCACTACATAAAGATATCTTTTGTAAGTTTGGCTTGATGGCAAAAGATGTAAGTTTTCATTTTGTATGTTACATTCAGAGATCCTTTTCAGATAAACTGAGGAAGGTACACAATACAATGTAACAGTTTATTTTCCACAGATGGAATACTGCAACTGCTATTGTTCTGAACAGTTCCAGACCAGTAACTGTGGAACACTGAATTTAAGAAGTAGATTGCCTACTAGGCAAAGTTAAAACATTAAGCAGGTTTCTATGGAAAGTTCAGAAGTGGCTTAAATAGACAAGTGTTTTAGGCTCAAACTCTGTATGTCTATTTTTAGGGTAGGAACAACCCACCTGCCATCTCTGCTTTAACCTCAAAATGGACAGCAAAAAAGTGGGCAATTGAGCCTTTTAAAATTTCCTTGAGCAGACCAAGTCTGATCTACTATAGCTAGGGTTACCATACAATTCTTTTTTGGTCCTCCATCCAGGCAGGTTTTTGATATGCAAGTAAATGTCCAGGTTTTTGCTTTGCCTATGCTTTCCTGGCACTTCCAGCTTGGCTGCTTAGGGCTGAGGGCAGCAGGGGAAAGTGACTTGAGTGCAGAGCACAATGCACTGGCCACAGGCCCCACATCTGCAGGCAGGTGAGACAGAGACAGCATATATCTGTGTCAGTGGACACCAGTAGGGGTGGGTTGCAAGAGGCTGTGGGATGGAAATGAGGGGCACCAGCCCCCCCACAATCACATTCCACCACACACCCCAGTCCTCTTTTTGAAACTGGAAATATGGTAACCGTAACTATAGCTGACAGTTCAAATATGATTTCTTAAGCTCCCCTAATTCAGTGCATACTGATGATCAAATCAAGTGTACAAGAACAAGATATAAGATGTCACTTGCAAACATACTTTTTGACTTCTTAGATTCATACTGAGCAAGACGCTCTTCCCTCAGTCTCTTTGCTTCTTCGCTTTCCTGCAAAAGCAAGCTAGATTTAGAACAAAGCATGGATAAAAAGGCATTCTTCACAATACTGTCAAAGTAGACTGGCTTAATCAGATAAAAACAAATCATCAGCAAGATCAGCCGAAAGATGGTGATTTGGTTTTATTCATCACGTGACCAGTCAGTTAAAAACAGGCACCCCTGCACACTCACTAGAACTTTATCCTATTTAGACTGCACATTAGTTTAGCTTATGCCCAAGCGGAAGCCACATTAAAAAAACCCCAAAAACCAAACCACACAAACTTGAAAACCAGAGTCTCCTTCAGATAGTTTACACGGACTTCACTTGAACCATGCAAATTCTGTAAAGGAGTAGGTGCTTTGCTAGATTTAAACATGCATGTAGTATGCATGGGTAGCGGAGTCCCCCAGGGCTCGGTCCTGGGGCCTGCGCTGTTCAATTTCTTCATCAGCGATCTGGATGATGGGGTGGAAAGTAACCTGTTTAAATTCGCTGATGACACCAAAATCTGGGGGGAGGTGAGCACGCTAGCAGGGAGGGAGAGATTGCAGAGGGATCTGGATAGGTTACAGGGGTGGGCTAACAGGAACAGGATGCGTTTTAACACGGACAAGTGCAGGGTGCTGCACTTGGGCAGTAGGAACCAGCAGCACACTTACACAATGGGGAACTCCTTACTCGAGAGCACGGAGGCAGAAAGGGATCTTGGAGTCATTATTGACTCCAAGATGAACATGGGCCGACAATGCGAGGTCATGGTTGGCAGGGCTAACCGGACCTTGTCGTGCATCCACAGGTGCATCTCGAGTAGAGCCAAGGAGGTGATCCTCCCCCTCTACGCGACACTGGTCAGGCCACAGCTGGAGTATTGTGTCCAGTTCTGTGCGCCCCATTTCAAGAGGGATGTGGACAATATGGAGAGGGTCCAGAGGAGGGCCACCCGCATGATCCGGGGACAACAGGGCAGACCCTACAGTGAGAGACTGCGGGACCTGAACCTATTCAGCCTCCACAAGAGAAGGCTGAGGGGGGACCTGGTGACCGTCTATAGACTCACTAGGGGGGACCAGAAGGGTTTGGGGGAGACGCTGTTTCCCCTAGCGCCCGCTGGCATAACAAGGAGTAATGGGCACAAGTTGATGGAGAGGAGGTATAGATTGGACATCCGCAAAAACTACTTCACAGTTAGGGCGGCTAGGAGCTGGAACCAACTTCCAAGGGAAGTGGTGCTGGCCCCTACCCTGGGGGTCTTTAAGAAGAGGCTGGATGCCTACCTGGCTGGACTCGTTTGAGTCCCGTTTCTCTTTTTGGGGTTTTTTGTTGTTCTCCCGCCCTGGCGGGGGGTCGGGCTAGAAGATCTACTAGGTCCCTTCCGACCCTTAATCTATGAATCTATGTTAGCTGGGGAAAACAAAACAAACAAACAAAAACAACAACTCATAGCAAATAAAATAAATGCCAGTACCTCCTCGTCATCAGATCCAAAGAGATCAATGTCATCATCATCTTTGGTGTCTGCAGTTGCACCAGCTGTGGTATCCTCAACATCAGCAGGACCGTATTTCCCCAAAGCCTTCTTTACTCCTGGCAAACTAAATAAGACGGCACAGTCTGTTAAAGATTACTGATTTTAAAAACTTGTATTTTAGTTTTACTGATGTTTTGATACTGTTGTAAACCTCCAGTAAATTTTTCTTGTGTTAACAATGAAACTCAAACCTTAATTATGTCACTATTTCAGAAGTGAAGCACCAGATTCCAATCCACAAGTGTACCCACAGCAAAGCATGCTGGTTAGAAAAATATGGTGAATTTAACATGCATAGAAAGCTAAACCTCTTATAAATACAGCAACTCTTGCTCCTGGTAATTGGATTTCCTAGAGTACCCCACATTAGAGCAGCAACCAAAAGTTTCAGATCATAACCTTGTACAAAGAGGAGTTCTGAAAATTTTACTGTGCTGTTCCAAGTGCAGAAGTGATGGGATATATTACAGAAAAAAATGTAACCACCACCAAATCAAATTTAACAACTAAAATGTTTTATATTAATTGAAGCATACTAAGCACTGCTAGTCCCCATTGAAGCATTTCCATGAAAATATTTCATTATTGAAAATTAAGCCTCAGTGGGAATGGTAATATATCAAAGTTTTATCACAATGTCAAATCCTTGGGTTTTACTGACAGGTTCTAACTATGAAGTATTTGAGGGAAAAAACTAGTTTTCCAATACTACCCAACACAACCATAAGCCTATAATGTAAATGAGGATAAACTAAAATGCGTGAGGAACCAAGGAGAACCTAGCAGGAGCTAAACATTCCTGAAACCCAAACACAGCTTAAATAGCTCCATCTACTGCTAGAAAACCTATAATGCAACTTTACATTGCCTGCTCAATTCTAGTACCTTTTGAACTGATTTAATTCCTGCTTTAGTCATTCTAGATGTAGCCACTAACACCATAAGAGCATAGTTTTGTCTTATGCTTTCATTTATAGTATTGTGGGGTTTGCTTTAGGGCTTTTTTGTTTATTTTTTTAAATCAGACTGTTAGGCATTAGAAAAGCCAATGACAAAGCACTCTCCTTTTGAGTGGCTAGAAGAAGTTACAGTAATTAAGTTCTTTACAGATCTGGTGAACTGGATTTTACAATTTCACCCCAACCCACATACTGACAAACTATTAAATAGTATTATTGACTGTAGCATCAAGAAAAGCCTAGGACAGAATGGATAAGAGACCAAGCCATCCAACTCTACAACAGGTCTTGGTGAGGCAATGTGGAAATGGCACATACTAACACTGCCTATGCTGTACCTTTTCTAGGGAGGACTTCAGTCTCCATGGCTGTCAATACGGCACTTTTCATGACCACTAAATTCACTAAAAAAAGAAGAGAACACATTTGCTTTCATTTCCCTCAAAAACAGTGTCCTTTACTGGTCACTTGTCTGATTTAACCCTTCAGGGGGAACAGTCCAATATGAGGTTTTCCTAAGATCCATTGTAATTATTGTGCTCCTGGCTCAGGTGGCTTTGAGACCAAGCTACAAAAGCCATGAGTGAGCAGCTATTGTACGTGCATGATTTTCAAATGGAAACACAAAAGGACTCAGTTGCATTGCATTAACCTGCTGGTTTAAATCCAGCCCAGCTTGGTATGACCTTTAAACTGTTATTCGCAGTGTATATAGGTCATGGTGCTCAAGGCATGAGTGGCCACAAAGCCTGTCTTGCAGTGCTAGGGTTTCAGCTGAGTCCCTGAACACCACATGTGCAATGAGGGGAGGCCTGGAAGTGCAGAATCCCAGGGCCAGCGTTGCCAGGTGTATAATCATTGTATCTGTATGGTAATGCCAACCCTTGTACAATGTGAGATCAATAATACTAGCAAGAGTGTTCAAAATGTGCAATAATTTTTGAGGCTACTAACTGATGCAGCATATGCAAAGCCCAAGTCACTCTTGGGGACTTTTGAGCTTGCTGTCAGTACCTTATGACTGCTTACCTCAAAATAAAGAAGTGTTTCAACTTTGATGACCCAGTTCTCTTTCACTCACTGACAAGTTATAACTAATAAGATGTATTTGAGTACTGATTTGCTTATTTTTTCAGCATACAATAGTTTTTCAGCAAACACAGCAACACTGAGATTCCAATAAGATAATTTCCTATTTAAGACTTGGCGACGCTGCCCAGAGCAGAAGCCAGCCATCTTGGCTAGGCTGCCCCAGTGCCCGCACCCTACCTGCTCCACAGCAGCAGCGAAGCTGGCACCTTTCAAAGACAACACACAAGCTCAACATTTAAGGCAAAAAAATCCACAGAACAAGACAACCCATGCTTTTTTTGGGGGGGGGGGGGCTGGTACCCAGGGAAGCAGATCCTACCTGGCCTTTTGCTTCTCGTAGGACTGGATGTGGTTGTACCAGCGCAGCGCGTGGCACAGGTCGGCGGGCGGCGGCGCAGACACGGCCTCGAACACGGCGACGTCGGCCTGGGACGGCCCGAACCTACGGAACGCGCGCGATCAGGGCGGCCCCAC